TGGGGAGCGTGAAACATGCTGGTGTAGACGCGGCTCGTCGCTGGTGACCGTGTGGCAAAATTACGTCTATTATGTCGCAGTGCCATGCGCAATTGCGCGGCCTTGGTGGGAAGTGCGTTTGCGCGGCGCCGTGCCACTGGGGAGCGCGAAACACGCTGGTGTAAACGCGGCGTGTCGCTGGTGAGCCGGATGACGGGCGGTATCGTGTGATATGATTGCTTGTAGTGTGTGGGCCGAACGCGTTGCCAAATTACGTCCGTGATATCGCGGTGCCATGCGGATGTTCGCGGCCTTGGTGGGAAGTGCGTTTACGTGGCACCGTGCCACTGGGGAGCGCGAAACACGCTGGTGTAAACGCGACACGTCGCTGGTGAGCAGGATGATTGGCGGTATCGTGATTGCTTCTAGTGTGCGGGCAGACCGTGTGGCGAGACTACGTCCGTGATGTCGCATTGGGTCCAGTGTGTGGGCAGACCGCGCAGCGAAATTTCGTCCGTGATGTCCCAGTGCCATGCGGATTTGCGCGGCCTTGGTGGGAAGTGCGTTTGCGTGGCGCCGTGCCATTGGGGAGCGCGAAACACGCAAACGCGGCGTGTCGCTGGTGAGCGGGATGATTGGCGGTATCGTGTGATAGGATTGCTTCTAACTAGTGACTCTAGTGTGTGGGCAGACCGTGCGGCGAATTACGTCCGCGATGTCGCGGTGCCGTGCGGATTTGCGCGTCCTTGGTGGGAAGTACGTTTGCGTGGCGCCGTGCCACTGGGGAGCGCGAAACACGCTGCTGTAAACGCGGCGTGTCGCTGGTGAGCGGGATGATTGGTGGTATCCTGCGATAGGATTGCTTCTAGTGTGTGGGCAGACCGTGTGTCGAATTACGCCCGTGATGTCGCAGTGCCATGCGGATTTGCGCGGCCTTGGTGGGAAGTACGTTTGCGTGGCGCCGTGCCACTGGGGAGCGCAAAACACGCTGGTGTAAACGCGGCGTGTCGCTGGTGTGCTATATATCAGTTTGATTCGAACCTTTTCAGCGTTGTGCTTGCACAGCGAGAAATGCACCAAGGTTGCCGCTCCTGACCCACAACGCTGCGCTGCCGTTGCATCTGCGCGTCTACGTCCACACAACCTTTACCTCTGTACATTTACATCTTCACACGCTCACATCCGCAGATCTACCTCTCCACCTCCACACACCCACGCATCTGCACATCTATATCACACCTGCACATCCACACTGACACTCCTTCTCTTAATATGTTCAATCGAATTTCTTTGCAACTTCTTACTCAATGACAGATTGTATAAAGAAGTCATGACTCTTGGACAACTCGATTTTAACTATTTCATGACTCGACAGTGCTGGACAATGACCTGTCTCGCTCTCGGGCCAACCGTCGTCTAGTGTTTTTTGAAAAACTACCTGATAGAACCCACGAACCCGAATGCAGTCACTCATGTATAGACTTTGGATGAATTGCAAAGTCATCAGCAGAAGCAGCGCCAGGGCATCAAAAGCTGTAGCAAGCATTTTTCACGAGACTTTCACCAGAAGCGACAATCAAAGTTTCCAAAAACGAGCATTTTCCACGAGACTTTCTCTTGCTAAACAGTCTTGCTTGAAACTCGTTCTTGACACTCTTTGCTAGAGAATCTTTCTTGACACTGGACACTTGTTCTTCACACTCTTGCTTCACACTCTTGCTGGACACTCTTGCTTGACACTCTTTCTTGACACTCTATCTTGACACTCTTGCTTGACACGTTTGCTGGACACTCTTGCTTGACACTCTTGCTTGGCACTCTTGCTGGACACTCTTGCTTGACACTCTGCTAGACACTCTTGCTTGACACTCTCTCTTGACACTCTTCGCTAGACAATCTTTCTTGACACTCTTTCTTGACACTCTTGCCTGACACTCTTTGCGGGACTCTCTTGCTGGACACTCTTTGCTAGACATTCTTGCTGGGCACTCTTGCTTGACACTCTTTCTTGACACTCTTTGCCAGGCAGTCTATCTTGACCCTCTTTGCTAGACACTCTTGCTTGACACGTTTGCTGGGCACTCTTTGCTAGACACTCTTGCTTGACACGTTTGCTGGGCACTCTTTGCTAGACATTCTTGCTAGACACTCTTGCTTGACACTCTTTCTTGACACTCTTTGCTAGACACTCTTTCTTGACACTCTTTGCTAGACACTCTATCTTGACACTCTTGCTTGACACGTTTGCTGGACACTCTTGCTGGACACGGTTTGCTAGACATTCTTGCTGGACACTCTTGCGTGATACTCTGAATTGACACTCTTTGCTTTCTTGACACGCTTTGCTTGACACTCTGCTAGACACTCTTGCTGCTTGACACTCTTGCTAGACACTCTTTCTTGACACTCTTTTCTAGCCAATCTTTCTTGACACTTGTTCTTGACACTCTTGCTGGACACTCTTGCTTCACACTCTTGCTGGACACTCTTGACACGACACTCTTTCGTGACACTCTTTGCTAGACAATCTTTCTTGACACTTTCTCTTGACACTCTTGCTTGACACTCTTGCTGGACACTCTTGCTTGACACTCTGCTAGACACTCTTGCTGGACACTCTTGCTTGACACTCTCTCTTGACACTCTTTGCTAGACAATATTTCTTGACACTCTTTCTTGACACTCTTGACTACTACTACTACTACTACTACTCCTACTCCTACTCCTACTCCTACTACC